GTTTAGCGTTGTCACAGGTCCTAGACAGCAGGACATATGCTGGGTTAAAGGCAGGAATAAAGCAGAAGGCTAGACTGTCCAAATTGACAGCCACTTTGTTCTGGTCTTCACTGTCAACCAAGGACCCAGTCCCTGAAGTTGGACACAACCAATGGCCACAAGACAATAATGCGTGGCTATGAGATAATTACAGTAATTTCCATGCAGAGACTGTTAACAAGAACAAGTTTGTATTGATTTCATTTTATTTTATATAGGAATGAAATACAGTGACATGCTTTAGTCCCCCATGTCCACACATGGCCATGCATTTTAAATTTTTTTTTTCATTTGAGTAATCAGAAAAGCTTTGTAGTTTGGGGAAAAGTATAGAACAAAAGTGTAGGGAGATTTTCAAAAACAATAATAAATTTGGCCTTGGTTTTGAAGACAAAAAAAATGTTTAATGAAATTTGCTGGTTTAGTTTAAATGACCATTTCCTGTCGTTTTGTGGTTGATGATTTCTAGCCAAGATGTTTAAATTTAATGTAAAAATCACCTGAACAGCCAGAGGAAGGAAATGGAACACCAAATAACAATCTGGCTGCTCTCTGAACACTTTTCTTTTCAGAGCATTGAGCAGGTATATTGTATATTACAGGCCTTGTGTGCCTGGAGAGATTTTTTCCCACTTCTTTCTGTCATTGAATCAAACATGGAGCCGTAAAGTGTGTTAGAGGCCATCAGGTTAATGGAGTGTTTGTGCAGCAAGACGGTGAACCGTCTGCACTCTGAGGGGATTCACCATCAGCCACACACCCAGTGGTGAAAAAGCTGCCCCTAGGTCACGCGGCGTCTTTACAGGAAACATCTAACCTGTTGCCTCGTTCATTTTTCACTAAAAACAAGTGAACCCCAAAATTTTGCTTCATGGATACGAGTCACAGAGAAMCAAGGTGATAAGATGATAAATTTCCTGCTGATGTGTTTCCCTGATTGTTGAGCACAAACTGAGGAGGCATTTTATGAACCATGAACACTGTTCAGCAGACCTGCACCACCGTTAACCTATTTATGGAYCAGACTGCTGCTGCTGTGGTGCTGTCAGAACACTATGGGTTTCCTGGGAAGCAACACTGACGAGAACATTTGTGCACTGAGAGATTCTTCCTTTGATTCATTTTTCTTTCTTTTTCTCTCCCTAATAGACAGTTAGGCTCAACGCATCACTTACAGTTTGAATGCTTAGTCAGGAGCTCTTTGTGTTAGGAATATGAAAACACTGGGTTAAAAAATGTGGCTGTTTAAAGATGAGCAGCTTTTGAAACAGCTTTTGAAAGAGCATGAGCAAAAGTGAACATAAGAGAAAATATTAGACTGGAAAACATTGATGAGATGACTCACTGAGGTGTTTTTCTCTCTAAAACCAGACCTCTCCACAGCTCTCTACATTATGCTTTGTGCCTTTTTGATTAACCTGCTCTTCACAGTTTGAAAAAAAACTCTAAGTTTGGGGATTTGATTCCCAGAAGAAGCAACTATAAAGAAATGCAGGACAGTTCTAGTTTCGGGACAAAACCTTACAGACTGTTTAATAAAACTGGATGCTGATTTGCACTGGCTGCCAAAATAATGTGAAACGGCACAATCTAAAACTTTATGTAGATGCGTGCACAAAAAATAAAACCAACAGGGAGCAGACAGAACTCTAGAACTCTGAGGTAAATGCAGAGGTAAACTAGAAGCACTCGGAGAGTGCAAACCTCCTCCAAGACCAATTTCTCCCATTTTGCAATAGAGTATTTCACAGATACCGCCATCTTTGCCTAACGCAAAGCATCATGGTCTAGTTTGGGGGCAGATTTCTATCCTGTGTTCTAAGCTATATGAAGCTCTAAAGCTCCCACTCCAAATATTTTCAACTGACAAAGCCTCCCTGATGGGAAG